GTTTCCCCCCATATGCTTGGCAGTGGACCTAGAAATGGACTGGAAGTACTTCTGGTCCACTTCCGGGTCTACCGCCGAGTGTGCAGGTGACCCCTCCATGCTCCCATCTGCCCCACCATCACCATCTTTTCGTGTGACGAAGCCATCAGAAAAGCCAATGGCACTTTATCGTGCATCAGCAGATGCATGACGAATAGGTCCAAAGAGGTGATACTTCCCCTCTATCGGGTGCTGGTCAGACCGCAGTTGGAGTACTGCGTGCAATTCTGGGCGCCGCAATTCAAGAGGGATGCAGATAACCTGGAGAGGGTCCAGAGAAGGGCCACTCGTATGGTTAAGGGCCTGCAGACCAAGCCCTACAACGAGAGACTAGAGAAACTGGACCTTTTCAGCCTCCGCAAGAGAATGTTGAGAGGCGACCTTGTGGCTGCCTATAAGTTCATCACGGGGGCACAGAAGGGAATTGGTGAGTATTTATTCACCAAGGCGCCCCCGGGGGTTACAAGAAATAATGGCCACAAGCTAGCAGAGAGCAGATTTAGACTAGACATTAGGAAGAACTTCTTCACAGTTCGAGTGGCCAAGGTCTGGAACGGGCTCCCAAGGGAGGTGGTGCTCTCCCCTACCCTGGGGGTCTTCAAGAGGAGGTTAGATAACCATCTAGCTGGGGTCATCTAGACCCAGTGCTCTTTTCTGCCTATGCAGAGGATCGGACTCGATGATCTATTGAGGTCCCTTCCGACCCTAACATCTATGAATCTATGAATCTTTCTCTTTTGATGTTGGCTCTGGGATTGCTCTCTTTACTCTTAGGACAGTCTTTGGGCGGTCTCCAGAGCTTTCTGAACTCAGTGTTCAGTGTTCAGTCTTTTCACCATCAGCAAATGTATGAAAATGCTTGTAGTGACCAACCTTCATTCATTCTCCAATAGGAGAATATTTTGTTTCCTGGTTTGACTAACACTTAGATGTTTTTACTCAGCTGGACAGAATAATGTGCTTGTCTTTTTTCTTAGTGGTTACAGTTAATTTAAAACCCAACAGTATGAGCATTTGGAATGATTCGTTATTAGTATAATTGTACTAACTAATGCAGTTTTAGTACTGGTATAAATTAATCCTTTCCACAACTTTAGCTTATATAACACCACCTTTTGAGGGAGACTTCTCAAAGGTTGCTTGCAAGTCCAAATAAAGGAGACCAATCCTTCTCTTCGGTAACCCCTGTAGTAGGGGCTAAATGTTTTGGAGTGGGGGCCACATGGAAAGAGCTTAGCGTTGTGCCTCATAGAGCCTCATTAGGTGATCTAAGTCCTCCACTGGGCTACCTAGAGAAATTGTGGAATCTCCATCCTTGGGAATTGTGGCATGCACGTCCTTGGAAAATTTGAAGAGCTGGTTAGATAGACACTTGGCTGGGATAGTCTGATGAGGGATAATCCTGCCTCCAGCTCATGATGACCCTTCCAGCCCTATTTTCCTATGATCCAACAGAAACAACCCCCTTGAGAGAAGGTTGTCACAAGTGAGTATTCACCCTGGGAATATCTTTTGCTCAGGAACATAACAGAGATGGACAGAGGCTATTTTTAAAGGCCATGTCTCTGAGCAAATGGCTGCATCACCAACATCCCCACAGAAAGATGACCAGGTGAAGAATCCAGAATAGGCTGCCTGGCCTCAGGACAATGACAAACTGTAGCATGTCGGGCTTCTGGGGGTGGCTGTGAATGTCCCCTGGCATCTCTGTAACCATGCCCCACTCTGCCTTTCCTTCTCACCTTGGGTGCTTTCCCTTCTCACTCACCACACCTTGATGGAATAGTAATAGGAAGACTGCTTATGGGCCTTTGTGTGGCCCCAGTCCAACTGGACCCCCACTGGGGTTTCTCAGCACCCTACTGGTTTTTACTCCTCCCAAGCCCCTTGATGGCCTCTCTAGTCAACCATGCCCCTGTTGGGGCACCTACAGACTTAAGGTTTATTTGCATAGCTCCAGCCCTTCCCTACACCATGCCCCAAGCCTCACTGGTGTTATTGTAATGTTGACTGCCTGTTGGGCTTTGGCCTTGTTACCTGCCACTCTTTTACTCTCAGCTAGGCCTTTTAGCCTAGGCCCACTGTATCAGACCTGGCTTTGAGGCACCAGGTCCAGTTTGGCCATTCTGGGCACCAGGCCTCTGGCCTCTGTTTGGTTGCGCCCCTAGCCTGCCTGGCTCTGTGGCTTCACTCTCTGTCTGCTCTGGGCACCCCTCGGGCATGAATGGGACCTCTGTATACTGCCCTTACAGTCCCAACCCAAACCACTGGTCTAACTTCAGCATAAACAATAAAGCCCTGGGCGTTAATATAAACATAAAAGGGGAGCAGCCCTCTGCCTGGTTAAGAGAGAGAACTTTCCCTCACCTCTCACCTAGGATAGCCTCTCAGCTCTGGGCTATATCCTAGCGTAGTGCTTCCCAAACTTTTCAATGTGGCCCCTCCCTCCCAACTCACATCTGCCCATCCCTGTGACTTCATCCACTGATGTTGCCACCCCATTTGGGGTTGTGACCCACAGTTTGGGAACTGCTGTTCTAGTGAGCTCCTCTAGCCTCACCAGGGATCCATATGCAGCACCGTAGTCCATTCAAGAGCCCTGATGCCAGGAGCTCTTCACCCTGTAGCTGCCAGGGAGAGACTAGCCCAAGTGTCAGGCTCATCTCCTCCCAGGGCCCTGCACCTTGTGGGTCAGCAGACTTCCTGGCCCAATTGCCCCTTTGCCAAAGTGCCCTGCAGTGCTCCCTGGCTGGGCTGTTTCTGCCCTAAAGGAACAGAGAGCCCCAGGCTGGCTCCGTGGCCTCACTCTCTGCCTGCCCCAGGCTCTGTGTTGCACAAGGTCCCAGATTCATAGCAGAGATGAGACCAGACCTGGGAGACCTTAGGACCATTCAGGCTAGGGACAGAAATTCCACATAAACCGGAATAAGTGCCCAGAAACCGGTTCAAACCTGTAACACAATAGAAGTTAAGTGCATGTGAACTGCTTTCAAAATGGCCAGAACCGGTTTCAGATAAACCTGGATGGAAGTAGCATCAGACTTAGGTGATTTAGGTTAAATCAGTCGATTGAACTTCTGTTCCAGATCCCCACATATTGCAAAGATATGGAACTGCACCAGCAGTGAGTGTTCCTGTCGGTGGTTAAGAAATTCCTTTGTTAACCCCCCAGTTTTGCTGTCCTTCCAGGTTCCTGAGGGGTCTGGAGAGTGCTTTAGGGGGAGTGTTGAAGGAACCAGGGCCTTGGAATTGCTGAGGGAATTGTTCCAAGCTGGCTGAAACACAGAGGTCGACTACCTGAGATGCATTTCTGATACATGGCCTGCATCAGAGTGATCCAGTGGTAGGGACAGTGATCAGCCAGGCCTCAAAGGTTTTACAAGCATGTGGGAGTTGCCATTTGAATGGTATCTGCCCAGAGGAGGCCAGGCCTGGTGAAGACAGGTGACTTATAAAGAAGTTGCACCTCGTAGTGAAATGTGTATCCTCCTCTGGAAGGCCAACCTACAGAATTGAAAATACCATCAATGTGGGTTTTGATCCAGAACCCTGTGAAGTCTAAAGGTGTCTGGCCTTTAGATTAGGCCCTA